TTGTGGGCTTTATCCCCAGTATGGGGAGTAAGGGAGGCAGCTGATCAATGACTCTCTCATCATTGATGTTTCTATCTCTTCCTTCCTCTCTCTGAAATCAATAAAGATATATTTTTAAAAAAGAAAAGTATAGGAGAAATTATTTTTTGAAGAAACAAAAACTCAATGAAAATTTAACTCATTTCTTAAGACCAGAAGTCATTCAGGTCAAAATAACATCTCAAAGTAAAGAATATCTCATCTGAATATGCCTTTTGTTATGGCTCTGCATTACCATCTAACTACTCTGATGGCACTAAATTAGATCCACGTTAATAAAAACTTACCAGAAGAGACATTGAATCGCTTTAGTTCATAGAAAGTAACAAAAATCCATCTATGGCAGAGAAGATTATTGCTTTATCTTCAAGATGCAGAAATATCCTACTATAAAAAACAAAAGCAAAATAATTTAGATTTACATAAAGATTTCTTGAAGAATTGCCATAAACCCACACAATATTTAGGCACCTATTCTGACACAAGGACTAGAGACATTCCTGGAAAGTGTCTTTAAAGAGCATTTCTGTTGGCCCGGCTGGCATGACTCAGCTGTTGAGCATCAACCTATGATCCAAGAGATGGCTGTTCAATTCCCTGTCAGGGCACATGCACCGGTTGCAAGCTGGATCCCCAGCAGGGGGCATGCAGGAGGAAGCCAATCAATGACCCTCTCATCATTGCTGTTTCTCTCTCTCTCTCTCTCCCTCCCCCTTCCTCTCTCTGAAATCAATAAAGACATTTTAAAAAAAGCATTTCTGTTTACTGAACACTATATGAGCTCTGACATAACAGAAAGGCAGAGTGAAGTTGAAGGGAGGTCCTGGATCTTTTCAAAGCCTTAATATATCTGCATCTCTCCTTCACTATGTTTTCTGTACTTTTTAAAAGAACCCTAAGCAAATGTGAAAACAGTATAAACAATGTTGAACCCATTTTTGATATAAATGGTGCTCCAACAAGTCCAATGATTCCACTTGTAAGTAAACTTTGAAGCTTCCTGATCAGATTAATTGCCCTTTAAATTATTTGGATTCCCTGACCAGCAAATTTGGAAAAAATAAGGATTAGTAATAAACTAAGAATTAATAATATTTTCTTGCTGCCACACATCTAAAAAAAAGGAGAGAATTTTTTTCCAATTTTCATGTGAAAATAACATTTTTTGTAGGTTGAATTTTTTTACCTTATTTTTAGTTCTCAATCCTATTCTTGAAATTTATTGACAGATATGAAAGATATGCAGATTATTATGCAAATAATCCCTGTCCACTTTCACTAATAGAGTATTAAGTTCAATAGTTTATGAAGACTCTGCAACAGATTGAGAGTTAAAATAGTAACTTCTTCAGATTCAAGGAACTGCAAAAGCCCCACTAAAAGTTTCCAGGTCTTTTTGAAAAGAAAGGGTAATAATGCTCTGAATTTGCTAATTCCTGGGTATTTCCTTAAAGCTAATCAGTATCTTTTCTTTCATATACATTGTGCTTCATTACTTCATTTTAATAATGAAGTCCTCAAGTTTGATGAAGGCATCTGCAAATATCTGAGCAAAATGAGAAAGGAAAACCTTGCAAACCACAGATATCATAGAGTGGTACTCAATTTTACTGCTAAGGAAAGATATGAATTTATTCAGGATGGTCACTACAAACCAAAGGTAAAGAGGGGGAGGAAGAAGAACCCGAAAGTGTGATTATTTTGTCATCTGTCATTCACTATATCAATTTAAGGCGCTGGAAGTTGCTATGTGACAAAAGGAGGAATGCAGTGCCTGCCCTGCCCACCTTCCAGTGTGACTGAAATCAAATGAGATACTTCTTCCAGAAAGTACCCATAACTACCAAACACTGTATCAAATATAAGAGCTTGAGTGGATACTCTGAAAGGCACACTCAAATATACTGGTGCGAAATGGTATGGCTCATTTGGACAGTTAGTTGGCAATATTTTGATAAACGTGAAAATGTTCATACCCTTTGACCCAGTAAAATTCTCACTTCTAGTAATCTATTCTAAGGAAATAAGTAAGCAAATGAAGAAACCATATATACATAGAAAGTCATTTCACAGTTGTTTAATAAATGGCTACTATGGATCCGGCACGGTATGGGCATTGGGGACACTAACTGGTGATACGGCANTGTTTAATAAATGGCTACTATGGATCCGGCACGGTATGGGCATTGGGGACACTAACTGGTGATAAGGCCTTGACCACTTGTACCTTACCTTCCCACAAGCAGAAAGACTAGGGATGTCATGATGAACTGAATTTTCTGGTTTTTAGAATTTTGTTTTCTGCTTTTTCCATTTACTATCAGTAAGTTCTTTTTCTTTTTTTCTTAAAGTTTTCATTGATTTCAGAAGGAGGGACAGGGAGAGACACATAGAACATCAAATGATGAGAGAGAATCATCTATGGGCTGCCTCCTGCATGCCCCCTACTGGGGATAGAGCAGGAAACTCCGGCATGTGCCCCGACCGGGAATCCAACCCTGACCTCCTGGTTCATGGGTCCGATGCTCAACTCCTGAGCAACACCAGCAGGGCAGTAAGTTCTTTCTTAACAACAAAACCTTTAAACTTCATTACCTTACCTATTTTTCAGAAAAACTCAGAAGAAATGGGCACAAGCTGTTAGAATTGTTAGTTCTAAAGGGGTTGTCCCCATGGGATGGTTTAATCCCAGAGGTTTTTGCTTAAGACACACCAGTCTATTAAGAGATAATTTTACAAGACATTTTGAGGTCAAGGCAGCAGCTGCACCTAGTAAGGGGCAGGGAGGTGTGTGTGTGTGTGTGCTGAAGGAGAGGAGGGGATTTGCTGTCACTTTTNTCTATTAAGAGATAATTTTACAAGACATTTTGAGGTCAAGGCAGCAGCTGCACCTAGTAAGGGGCAGGGAGGTGTGTGTGTGTGTGTTGAAGGAGAGGAGGGGATTTGCTGTCACTTTCCTCTGCATGCTCTTTCACTAGGTATGAACATAAATGCTTTTTAAAAATTCACATTTCAGAGGCCAGATTTTTTAAATGTATTCACAAGTACCTCAGTGTGGCCCCTTGCACTTGTATTTAAAAAGCTAATTAGGATAAAGCTTTATAAATAATTTAAATTTGTCCTATAATAGAATGGTAGTCCGAAGGTTTTAATCTGAAAGGGTGACAATTTCTGTGCAAATCAGGAGCTTCGTCTACTTACAGCACTTGGGGTTTTGAGTCGACTTAAGCATCCAACAGCCCATTGTTATAGGGAATGCAAAAAAAACCCTTATTTAACTCTTTGCTGAGCTTTAAAACTACTGTAATTTTCAAAGTGATTTTGGGAACCCATAATATTCATAATATCTTTAAAAACTATAGCAATGCACAACTCGGTAGAATTTTCCAAACTTAGTATGGTGACTCATGCTTTCAAAACACATTTACTGACCGCCTACTGTGTGCTCTGTGCTAGGCAGGCGTTGTGTCCTAAATGCCGATCAAGTTCTGAGCAAAAAAGGTACCTGACAAAACCAACCCACGAGGGCAACGGTGAACTTAAATACTGAAGACAAAACGAAGCCTGAGCGTTTGCTTTTGTGAAAAGTTCCTTCCTAGTCCTGCTTTGGAGGTGAGAGTGGGGTGCTCTGTAGCGAACTCAAAGTAGGCGGCAGGCACACAGAGTCCGAGCCAGGGGGTGTCTCCTGTGTGGAGACTTCGCCAGGCCCCCGAGCCGAGAGCTGCGGGGACAGCGCCGCGGGCGGCTCAGAG